CATCATCAGCTCGACCAAAGAGAGGGAGAGTCGACCCAGTGCTGGTGCGAGCGACGCCATCATCAGCTCGACCAAAGAGAGGGAGAGTCGGCCCAGTGCTGGTGCGAGCGACGCCATCATCAGCTCGACCAAAGAGAGGGAGAGTCGGCCCAGTGCTGGTGCGAGCGACGCCATCATCAGCTCGACCAAAGAGAGGGAGAGTCGGCCCAGTGCTGGTGCGAGCGATGCCATCATCAGCTCGACCAAAGAGAGGGAGGGTCGGCCCAGTGCTGGTGCGAGCGACGCCATCATCAGCTCGACCAAAGAGAGGGAGAGTCGACCCAGTGCTGGTGCGAGCGACGCCATCATCAGCTCGACCAAAGAGAGGGAGAGTCGGCCCAGTGCTGGTGCGAGCGACGCCATCATCAGCTCGACCAAAGAGAGGGAGAGTCGGCCCAGTGCTGGTGCGAGCGACGCCATCATCAGCTCGACCAAAGAGAGGGAGAGTCGACCCAGTGCTGGTGCGAGCGACGCCATCATCAGCTCGACCAAAGAGAGGGAGAGTCGGCCCAGTGCTGGTGCGAGCGACGCCATCATCAGCTCGACCAAAGAGAGGGAGAGTCGACCCAGTGCTGGTGCGAACGACGCCATCATCAGCTCGACCAAAGAGAGGGAGGGTCGACCCAGTGCTGGTGTGAGCGACGCCATCATCAGCTCGACCAAAGAGAGGGAGAGTCGGCCCAGTGCTGGTGCGAGCGACGCCATCATCAGCTCGACCAAAGAGAGGGAGAGTCGGCCCAGTGCTGGTGCGAGCGACGCCATCATCAGCTCGACCAAAGAGAGGGAGAGTCGACCCAGTGCTGGTGTGAGCGACGCCATCATCAGCTCGACCAAAGAGAGGGAGGGTCGGCCCAGTGCTGGTGCGAGCGACGCCATCATCAGCTCGACCAAAGAGAGGGAGAGTCGACCCAGTGCTGGTGTGAGCGACGCCATCATCAGCTCGACCAAAGAGAGGGAGGGTCGGTTTACCAGATGAATGACAGAAGAGTGTGCAAGAGCAGAAATCCTCACTTCAGTGGACACACACACACACACAGACAGACACTATCTGATGCACACGAGAAACTGATCCTGACGTAAAGTTACAGGAAGAAATCTGCCAACACTTTACAGTAAGGTTCCATTAGTTGAAGCATTAACTTAACTTCATTTTTTGTAACAATTAGCAATGGTATTTATTACTGATAGTTCATGTCAGCTCAGCCAAGGCAATGCTGGACTATCTGGAGCATCTGGCTCGGTTCCTGGACATGCCTGTGTCTGCCGTTCCAGCACCAGAGCCAGTGTTTGTTTCTTTGTTTGTGTCTGTCCTTGTGGCCATTACTGTTCTAGTGGCTGTTCCTGAGCCGGTGTCTGCTGTTCCAGAGCCGGAGGCAGAGCCAGTGTCCGTTCCAGAGCCGGAGGCAGAGCCAGTGTCCGTTCCAGAGCCGGAGGCAGAGCTGGTGCCCGTTCCAGAGCCGGAGGCAGAGCCAGTGCCCGTTCCAGAGCCAGTGCCTGTTCCAGAGCCAGTGCCCGTTCCAGAGCCAGTGTCCGTTCCAGCACCAGAGCCAGTGTTTGTTTCTGTGTTTGTGTCTGTCCTTGTGACCATTACTGTTCTAGTGGCTGTTCCTGAGCCGGTGTCTGCTGTTCCAGAGCCGGAGGCAGAGCCAATGCCATTTCCAGAGCCGGAGGCAGAGCCAGTGCCCGTTCCAGAGCCAGTGCCTGTTCCAGAGCCAGTGCCCGTTCCAGAGCCAGTGTCCGTTCCAGCACCAGAGCCAGTGTTTGTTTCTGTGTTTGTGTCTGTCCTTGTGACCATTACTGTTCTAGTGGCTGTTCCTGAGCCGGTGTCTGCTGTTCCAGAGCCGGAGGCAGAGCCAATGCCATTTCCAGAGCCGGAGGCAGAGCCAGTGCCCGTTCCAGAGCCAGTGCCTGTTCCAGAGCCAGTGCCCGTTCCAGAGCCAGTGTCCGTTCCAGCACCAGAGCCAGTGTTTGTTTCTGTGTTTGTGTCTGTCCTTGTGGCCATTACTGTTCTAGTGGCTGTTCCTGAGCCGGTGTCTGCTGTTCCAGAGCCGGAGGCAGAGCCAATGCCATTTCCAGAGCCGGAGGCAGAGCCAGTGCCCGTTCCAGAGCCAGTGCCTGTTCCAGAGCCAGTGCCCGTTCCAGAGCCAGTGTCCGTTCCAGCACCAGAGCCAGTGTTTGTTTCTGTGTTTGTGCCTGTCCTTGTGACCTTTACTGTTCTAGTGGCTGTTCCAGAGCCGGAGGCAGAGCCAGTGCCCGTTCCAGAGCCGGAGGCAGTGTTTGTCTCTGTGTTTGTGTCTGTTACAGTGTTGGTGTCTGTTCCTGAACCGGTGTCTGGTCGTGAGCTGCCCTGGCCGCCCGTTGGACTCTCTGTTTTGCCCTGGCCGCCTGAAAGATTCTTTGTTTCGCCTGGCCGCCCGATGGACTCTCTGTTTTGCCCTGGTCCCCGGTTAAGCCCTCACCCCTTGTTCCTGTCTCCCTTCATGGACCTGGCCCACCATCCCTCCCCCTGATCCACCATCGTTCCACCTCCCTCCTGAATTCTTGTGTTGTGTCTTACTTGTTGTGGAGCATCTGGCTCTGTAGGGGGGGGGTTATGTCACTAGAGGTCCTCGTTCTTACAATGTCTTTTACATTTGACTTCATTTCCCAGCATTCTGTCTGTCACTCATCAGTTCATTGCACTCAGCTGTTTCCCATCACCTTGTTAGAGTTTGTCTCAGCTGTTTCCCATCACCTTGTACCATGTCTGTTTTAGTAGTGTTATGGATTCCATAATTTGTGTCACACCACTTCAGGTTTGTGGTTGTTCTAGTTCCTGTTTTGTTTATTGTTTTGATGGTTTTATGTGGATTGACCCCTGCATGTTAACAATGAGTTTGGATTACCCTTTAATTAAAAGAACTACTGCTCTTGGATTATCTGCTTCCCGTGTGGTTTACATGACAGTAAATCTGTGGTTTAGCCGAATGTGTATGTGAAATTTCAGCTCAAGATACCAGACATTTATTATAGTTTGTCAAATTTGCCCCTTTTTGGGTTTGAGCAAAAATATGCTTTTGTCTGTCCCTTTAAATGCAAATGAGCTTTCGCTCCGCCTCTGTCCCGAAGAGGGCGGAGCCTTCACACTAGCTTCAGAGACTCCGGCAATCACAGCACAGGCCAATCTGACTGATCCAGGATCAGGAGTAACAGCAGCTTTAGCTCCGCCTTCCGGAGAGACTCAGGGAGAGCTGCACTGTTACACGTTTCTGAATGTTAGCGGAGACGTTTGTGTAGTTGTTGTGGAGTTACACTGATCATCTCATCATCATGTTGAACTCTTCCACAAGTGTCCACAGTTCCTGAGACAGTGTTTATAAGACAGCGGTCACATGTTCTGCTCAATAGTGTTCAGTGTCGTCTGTGCTGACCACAGAACAGTTTCAGGCTCAGCTGGATCTTCTCCAGTGCGTTACAACTGGGCTCTGTTGGCGTCGAACGATGCCATCATGTGGATCCTTTCAACACGTGAACCTGCACACAACTGAGATGTGTGTGTGTGTGTGTCAGCTGAAGATCACAGGAGGACAGTGGACAGAAGAGCTCAGGTTAATGTGAGGAAACACTGCATGTATTTGAGGAACTGTGATGTAACGCTGTTTCCTCTCGTGTGGAAGTTGAGCTTCACATTAACTGTGTTTTCCTACTGTTACCAAGTGAAAAGCAGGACAACTGACGTTCACACACACATGACATCATGGAAAACTGGGCATGGGTCTTTCTCTCACAACGAGTCGAGAGTCCAGGGATCCATCAGTCTAAAAATACAGTTTCTATCGCGCATTCCTCACATACTTTCATCTCTAAACCTTGTGATTCAAGTGGCATTTAAGCTGGTTTGATTAGACTATGAAGTGGAAAAGCACTGGTACTTCAGCATGGATTAGTCATCAGCTGCTTCTAATAAAACGTTCAAACGATCTTGTTTTATCTGGCCGGGGGAGTTTCTTGGCAGAGCCGTGCGTTACATACTTACCTATTTACCTGGTATGTATACTGGCAAAACAAACTCTTAAAGAGGAACATGGAAAGAGGAAAATGACCATTCATGACCATTTGTCATGAAGTTTCATAAACCGCAATGAGGTTATCATATCAGTGACCCCGTGTGCTTTTGCAAGCAGGACCAAAATCCAGAGACATCACAGAAGAAATAATGCATTTATTGTGTGTACCTTTACAGCAGAATCAACATGACTGAAGATATGAAGTTTTGTTAAATGAAAATGTGTCAAAATGAAGTGAGTTTGAGCTTAAAACAAGAACAAATATTTGCTAATCGAGTTCTGAACTATAAGGGGAACTGAACCCTTTCGCAGGGAGTTTGATTGACAGGCGATCTGACCAATCACAACCCGCCATCCGCCGAATCTGCGTTTATTGTCCGATAAAGCAGTCCGGAGAGTTAGTAGATTAGCGTTGGAGGGTTAGAGCGTACTGACGTCTTTCTGCACTTAAAACAACATTCCTTCTGATGTTCTTTCATGTTTATTTGATGCTGTAAATTAACTAGAAGTACGAGATGATCGGTTCACTGGCGGCTTTAACTGAGCGATCTGTCAGACACTTTAAAGAGCATCAAAATGGTATTTATTGTACAAGTTGAGACTTTGTTTCATATCAAAGGTGAGCTGGTCTGTCTTGTGTCAGTGTGTTGTCAGTGTCTCTGCTCCGCGTCGTGTGTTTCACCACACGAGGACATGATGTGGCTCGTCGGATATAGCAACAGTAACTAAAGGGGGCGGGTCTTTGCGAAAGGTCAATTGACCCCATTGGATTACTGAAATACATGAACTTTTGCATGATCTTCTAATGTTTCGAGTTGCACCTGTGTGTTGGAGAGACTCACTTTGACTACATCACTGCATCTGAGCGCTTTATGTCTTCCCCATCACATACTTGAGTAATCATCATACATTTGGCATCATTCAAAAACAAACACTTGAATTCGTCCTTTTGAAATTGAACACCGTGTTACAAGAAACGGGAGCTTTACAAGCTTTAGCAACTTCAGTTTTGCTTGGTTAGACAGGTTTTTGACATACTTTTTTGTTTTTTGTGTAATGTAAAATATCTATTTTTTATCAAATAAAAGAAAATGTTTAGTTAAGTTAATTTGCATTAGAGTAAACTTGAACAAAGCAAAGTATTGATGAAATAATTTAGTTTGAGTTCAGATCTGTGCACACTGAAATATTACACTCATGATCAATGTGACTGTTACACCCGGAGAATTGCAAGAGTAGATGAGTGTGACTGTAGCAGAAGCTGTCCTGCCGTCGAGAACACACACTCGAGAGGAAGGGATGATGAACTCACCGCTCCTGCGCTGTGTGTGTGTGTGTGTGAGAGAGGAGGGATGAAGATCCGGCTTCCTCACGCTGGAGTCGTGCGTCGTCTTCACTGCTTTCATTCCCTGTCCCCGTCTGTCCTGCACAAACACACACCAAAACACACGTTTTATTCAGCATGCCAGGGGCGCTTCACATTCACGTCAGCGTAACGGACCCACAAATGATCATCTTTCACAGCTATCGTGTGGATCACAACATGCTCAAGCTGCTCTTTTCCATACAATGAAAGTGAATGGTGACCAAATGAATAGTGTCGTATTGACTACTTTATGTTGCTTTTATCATGATTGTGTTATGTTTTGAGCCCTACATCATTGTTGTTTTGTTTTTGTTTGTTTTTTTGGACCCCATTCACTCTCATTGTGTGCTTGAACAATCTGCATTTGTGTTCCACAGAAGAAGGAAAGTCAAACAGGTTTGAAACAACATGAGGATGAGTAAATAAAGAGAAAATACTAATTCATTGTTGTGTCATTTACTGGACTATCTTTGATTGTGTTAGGATAGGATTGGATTAGCCTTTATTGTCTCCTAATGGAGAAATTCATCTTTGGCCTTCGGGACACAGATGTAACACAGTATACATTATACATAACACACAAAACATGAATTACATAAATACAAATTATATTAATGTTAAAAATTATTGTCACACCCGACATGATTAACCTAATTAATGTCACACTCATTCACTCAGTGTTCACTCATAAAAATAAAGGTTCTTTATTGCCATTGAAGAACCTTTAACATGCATGAACCCTAAATGTTCTTTAGATTATTATTATGTAGATTAAATGTTCTTCACATTGAGAATGGTTCCTCTAAGAACTGCTCAGAAGTTAAATCTTGGGTTATTGTTTCCTACCCAAATCCTGGGTTGAACCTTTCGGGTACATTTTCGGGGATATTTTTTCAGTGTTTGGGTAGTTTTTATGGTACCCCGATCCTGGGTCAAACGTAACAACCCAGGGGTTGAGTTATGTCTGGCGGGTGTTTATCGACCTCTTCCGGAGAGAGCAGTGCGGCTCCATCAGATTTTATTTTACCTATAAATTGATTATTGTTCTGTATATCGTTTAATTTTACGCAATGTGAGTCACCTCAACGAGTGTCGCGTCGGTCTTCTCGCGTGATGGACACGCCTGATGCCTTGCATAACGCTTTATGATTTTATTTCAAAAAACGACACAGAATATAAATCCTTAGAAAGTTAAATATGTTCTCAGAACTGTCCGCTGAAAAATAGTTGCGGATTTAAGTTAATATGTAAACATTTATTAATGCATGAAGTAAAATTATAATAATTTTAAAAAAATCAACCGAGTATGATGGGCTAAATCAACCCAATTTGCTGGGTAAAATGAGCCCAACATGTGTCCTAGAGTGTTCTGAAGGGAACCAGAAAAGGTTCTTGTACAGCATCACACCCTTATGGGACTGAACGAGGCCAAAGAATGTGTTTCTGAATTTGTTTGCTATTGATTTTCCTTGAAGCGAAAAGATATTCAGAGACTGAAGCCTCACTTTTAGTTCACGAAGCAGAAGCTCACTTAATTCTCCCTTCATTTACAGAGCTCATAATGAGTGGATCTTAAACACACACACACACATGCGTGGAGTGTTCGGTAGCTCTGAGCGCCTCCTCAGTGTGTCCTTGTAAAAAACAAGGCCTTCGGTTTCCTTTCCACGAGCCAAGACTTCTTTACACACCAACTACAGAAACAAACCGCATAGGGCACTCCAAACACACAGCTCTGTTTTCTTTAATAAGCTGTGTTTTCAAAACCACTAAGATGTCTGAAGGACATTAATTCCCTAAAGATGTCACGGCTTGTAAAAATACTCTTGTTATCAAAACCACGACTGCCAATTTATTGCACATTTGACACGCCAAAGAGCCACAGTGTTGATAAAGCCTCTGAAATAATGGAGTATAACGGTCAAATGCATACGGTGTAGAAGGATTATGCTTTATAAATGAAACTGGTTATTCGTTCTAACTTGACAATATGTTTCGCTAGTTAAGAATGTTTCAGACGGGTGTGTTTTGACCTGGCTTGTATAACTGTACAACAGAATTGACTTGGACAGAATTAGCCGAGGCCTCCGTCCCACACACACTGAAGACAGAGTCTTAACTGATGGGCAAGCCTTCAAAGCCCGAGTCCCGATGCGATCCAGCGCTCAGAGATGAACACTGGAAACACAAGACCGGGAATAAAACATGACACACACTGATGATGAGCGCTGATGAAGGATAGTAGCGTCAGACAGGCGGTCAGAGAGTACACACACTTCTGGAGAAAGGATGCTTAACTTCTGTTTATAGCACACCCATAGCTGGCATATTTCTCCTCATTACTTTAGGAATTATTCATTCTTTCACATTTGCATTATGTGCAGTTTGAGAAGTAATTTGTTATTTTGATGCATAAATTGCACTTGTCCACATCCATATGCAGTCAAACCAAACTATAGTGTCCTGCACACACTAGTCAAAAAACAAATTATATATATATATATATATAAAGTGTCTGAATAATAACTTTTGGTTTGTCTGTGTGTGTATAAACAGTATATATTAGATACTAACATGTGTGTTAACAAGCCGTTTGGATGACTGAGAGCTGAGGCGTCCGAGAGATCTGATCTGAGATCAGTGTGCGGCGGGAGTGATCATGTAAATGCATTTAGATTGTGAGGTTATTAAAGTCCCTGTTGGTTTAATGATCAGCTGTCCCAATTCTTCTGTCCATATACTGTACAAAAAACTAGTTAAAAACTTAGTTTTTTCGCCTAGTTGAATCTTGTATAACTTTAATAACGAAGGTTCATTTGGTTGAAATATTTTGATGAGTCTAACATTGTCCCTATAAATATTATTGAAATATAGGTGTCTGACATAACTCCTATTTGGAAATGAGTAAAATGCAGCCGCTTTCATGAATGAACTCATTTGTCGGCAGTTGTGTGTGGTGTGTTTTCTTTTCTCCTGTCATTTTTAATCACGTCTCCATTTCCTTCTCTTCTCCCCTTTATTTCACACTGACCACCAGTCGAGTTGAGCATCTGCCAGATTAACGGGAGGCTTTCATTGCTGGCTTTATTTGTGTTGGGGAAACTCCAGGACTTCCAGGGACGAGTTTGAGAAAGAATTAACACACTGATGATTTTACTCTATTTACTATATAAAGACCCAATATTGGCCGTCGGTGTCTACTAATCTACTCCTCTGCACTACTGCATTATAATTGACTTTATTATACATTTTTTTTAACCATTATGAGGATATACTGTAAAATAAAAAAATATATATATCAAATTGTTTTTGATTCAGCAAGATGAGAATAAATTCTTAATTTGAGGAATTAAAGCCAATAAAATCAAATCAACATGAAATACACAAAATAATAATTGAAAGACTGCTAGAAAACACACACACACACACACACACACACATTGTTTCTCTGCCTTCCACAAAAAAAGACAGAAAAGTAGTGAATTAGAATAAAAATAGTAATGGTGTTTTGGCTAAATATACACCAGCAAAATCCATACAACAACTGAGCGAAGAAACAATAAAGAGTCTGACGACAGGTTGTGTATTGAACAGGAATGTAAACCTGCGCTTCTGAGGAACGGCGTGTTTAGTGACGGACTGATCAGAGGTATTGTGTGAATCTGAAATCTGTTGATCTGTTAGGAAAGAGTGTATCCTAAAGTAAACACACACAGCCAAAGCAAAAAGGTGTCATACAAGTTGTTGAATTACTTTCCAACAGAAGATTTGGCAGGATTTAGAGCTTTTGCCATTCTATAATAAACAATGGCATGGGTATATTGAAAATATTTACTTAATTCTGCAAAGTGACTTATGGCAACAAGTGCTGCTAAACAGAATGTCAGGAGTGTTATGGCGTCAGGTACCAGCGCCTGTGTAAATACTCTCTGTGCTGTTGTTTATAGGAAAGCCCGTCTGGCTTCAGCTCTGCTGTGACCTCAGGCTTCTCCACGGAAAATATCACACAAGTGTTTGCTCGGAGAACTACAGCAGTGACAGAGCGAGCCACGCTGTAAAAGATGTCCGTGTCTCCATCATCCCTCATAAACAGATCTAACAGAGCTTATCCGTGAGATCATCAGCTGAACGTCCACGTGTTCGGCTTTTGTCCAACGCTACTTACATGGCATTCGTGATATACTCTTGAACGGTTCATGCATTCCTTGGGAATCGAACCCGTGACCTTGGTGTCGCAAGCGCCGCGATCTACCGTTGAACTTCAGGAACAACATCTGCTCGTCATATGATCGATCACACACACATTTATTTGACTAGTGACCTGAAATAATACAGAATACGAACTACCAAAACTTTCTATTTAATAGTAGTAGCAGCACTACAACTGCTATTAGTACAACTAGTGCAGTGAAGGTCTAGTATTACTATTATTACTACTACTGCTACTAGATGTACTGCTATTACGAGAACTATTCGTAGTTCTCGTAACTAGTGGTAGTCGTATTGGTACTTCTATTACTCACTAGTACTACTGACTACTAGACCTACTGCTGCTGCTGCTACTATCACTACGACTGCTATTAGTACAAATAGAACTACTGCTAATATTACTATTAGTATTACTACTAGTAGTACAACAAAAACTCCTGCTCCTATTAGTGGTAGTGGTGGTACTATAGTATTACGACTGCTATTACCAGTAGACCTTGAGCTACTGCTCCTACTACTACTATTAATAACAATAATTGCATCAGGAACATTCCTGTATCTCAAACAGTGTGTGTGTGTGTGTGTGTGTGTGTGGTGCTTGCAACACCAACGCCTGGGTTCTGATTCCGGAAGAGTGAATGAACTGATCAAATGCAGTGAAGGTCATTTAGGATAAGAGCACCTGCAAAATGCATGAATATAAAAATAATATCTTACATTTCTATGCTCAGGAGTATATTTTATACATCCTACACTATACAGTGGGTCATGTGTTGTATCCCTATGTATTATTTACCCATAATGCACCTCATGTATTACTGTATACTGTGAAGCACTAGCCCTGCATTT